ATGAAACAGTGCTGAGCTCCCTGAATTCCTCTGGCAGCTCAGCAGACTGGGATGGGCTGCCTGTGTTTTCCCACCTGTCAGCACCTGCTTCCATGAGGAACAGCAGTCTCTACGAGCTGCTGCAGGTGGGCAGAGCTGCTTCCAGCCAGCCTGAGTGGGGACACTTCTCCCGGCTGTGGCGTGCCACTGGCAGCATGCTGACCTCCAAATGGAGCCTAACAGAAGTGGGTGAATATGTGGAACTCCTGCAAATGATGAAGAAAGCTCTAATCCTCGTGGACCTTGGGGTAGCTCCTGGAAAAGCATTGGTGCATCAGATTTTTAGTAATTCTACTGAAGAAATTAAATTCTCAGATCTGAGTGATTTGTATAGTTCATTAAAACTCTTTTTCAGTTCAAGTTCTGCCACAGACAGCACACTGGACTTGGAAAGAATATTTCAAGAAATACTTCCTCTGTATGAAGGGAGTGATGAAGGACTGTTCTACTCTAATCCCTATGGAAAAGAAAATCAAGATGTTCTGACTATGGCTGCAGTGATTTGGAATGAGATCATTTTAAACAGGACTCATTTTAATGCAGAGAATGCATGGGAGGTTATCAAAATGCTTGCACTCGATGCAATCTCGCTTGAAGACATTGAAAATTATCTCAGCACAAATGAGAAAGTGTCATCATTATTTTCTGACTTCTTGTTGACCCCTGAAACTTCTGAAAATTTTGTAGAACACCTTCTGTCCCTTGAGAAACTTCTTGGTGCCATGGCAAAGGTGAATACCAGTGATCATTATCTGCTGATCTCTTCTTTGTCTGAGCTAATGCAGAAGCTCCTTCCTGGAAGGCAGGAAAATGAACTTGACGCTTTCTGGCACGTTGCTGAAGGTCTCCAGTCATTGAACTGGAGTAATACAGACAGTCTCACTGCCCAGTCACTTCTAGACATGCTGCAAAATCTGCTAAATACAATGGAAAATGACTCCAGTCTTCCTTTCAGTAAGGAACTGAAGCAGCTGCTAAACTTTGCATCCTCCATCTTTGAGCTGTATGATGAAGAAGACTCCAGGGGAAACAACATCTCCATGTACTTGCAGGCCCTGCAGAGAGGTATCTTAACTTTGAAAGGTTTGCAGAAAAGGTATAACATCAGTGAGCTTGAATCTCTCAGCCTGTTACTTGACTCTTACAGTAACTATACCCCGAGACTGATGGAAATGTGGGGAGCAGGAATGAAAGTTCTTCATGACACCAACTTAAACAAAACATTTGAGGAAAAAATGGACGTTGTCTACAATTTCTCACGTTTGCTGCTGCAAGAATTCAGCCAGTCTCCCTCACAGCACAATAACTCACTACAGGCAAAAATTTGGGATTTCTTGCGATCAGCCTTGGATCCTTTCCTTGAGCACAGCAGCAATGGCTATAGGACACTCCAGAACTGCTCCTTTGAAGATGTGCTTGGCATAGGCCTTGAGGTGCTGTTTGAAAATGCCACTCTAAGGGAGTCCTCAGCCAGGAGCCCCTGCAGGCCCCTCTTGGATTCCTTGGCCGTGGAGGGTGGGACAGGGAGCAATGACACCTTTACCAGGGTGTTCCAGCTGGCCATAAGCAACCTGAAACTGTCCCCAGAGTTTGCTGCTGCCTACAACAACAGCAGGGAGAGCTTTTCCAAGGAGCTGTCGTGCCTCACGCGAGCTCTGCGTTTGTCTCTGAGTTTCCTCTCCAAGTTAAACCTTGTCTCTGAGCTGGGAAACTCGTGGCTCCAGGAGAAGGTGAGAGCTCTGAGTGCAGCCACGGAGGGGCTGGTGCAGGGTGATGCCTCGTGCCCCATCCCAGCCCAGGATGTGGGTGATGTGTCCCCATCCCAGCTTCTGAACGTGCTCCTTCCTGCCCTGCTGAATGAAACAGTGCTGAGCTCCCTGAATT